CCAAGCCTGTCTTTCTACCTGAGTTCCATCCCTGTGACCTACATGCTTAAACAAGAAAATGGATTCAGGTAAGTTATCCTCAGATCTTCACACATGCATGGCACAACACCTACATTAATAAATACATGCAATCCTAAAAGTTGTATAAGGGTACCAATGGGAAACTTGGGTTCAGATCCTGGCTTGAAATCCATTTAATATCTGTGTAACTTTGTATGATTGGCTTCACCTCTCTGTGCTGTTATTAAGAATGATGTAAATACACTAGTTACCATGGTTACATTAACCAGGTGGAGCATCAATGACAGGAATCTCTCTAACCCAGATTCTCTTCCTCTCTGTGCTACAGTTTCCCATGTAAGAAGTGAGAGGCTTGTGCAATACCTTGGCATCTGGGAGGTTCTTAAGTTTTGTGTAATCTCAGTTTAATGTGCCCTGACAGTGAGCAGGAGGGAACCCTTATTTTGTCATTCTCCTCGTCCTTTCCCAGGGATTCCTGGCACAGCTCTGGCATGCTACTTGGGCTCTATATGAAGCCATTGAAGCTGCAGCTTGGCCTACGCCAGGTGGGCCTCAGTTGTGTCCATCTCTCTCTTCATAAACAATGCCTCACACTGTATTTGTGGCCTAACCCCATATAAGATTCTCCAAACATTTAGATCCCAAAGAGGATTGGATACTGGGCCTCTTCCCATCCTTCCATGATGAAATGATGGCATTCCACCTTAAGGAAGGTTCTGGATTTCTACCTGAACTTAGAAAAGTTCTGATCTTGCCATGCACCTCTGGCTACTAGCTATGTGTCCCTGGACACATAGTTCAGCCTCTCTGTGCCCTGGCTCCCTCCCTTGGTAGACCAGGCCTGCTATCCAGGTACTTAGGGGGCTGAAGCCAAGGGGCAGAAGTTCAAGGGCTACAGGGTGGGTTGTAGGCCAAGTTAAGCAATCAAGAGAGATGCTGTCTCAAAACAGACACACCCAATATCTTTAAACAAAAATTAATGTTTGCAGTGACTGCTTTTGAGATAGGGTATCAATGTGAACCTGTGTATCAAAAAGTCAGCTACATCAATGTTTTCAGCTCAGATGGGTCTCATCTGGTAGAGCAATAAGCCAGGTCTCCCTCTGCATAAACAGGGCATGATATTGCAACCTGTTATTCCAGTAATTGGAAGTGGAGGCAAAAAGGCCACAATTTCAAGGTCAGCCTGAACTTCATGGGCCTGTTTTAAAAACAAAACTTCAAAAGCAACGATTAACAAAAAAAGATCAAGGATTGCAGCCAAGACTGATGGATGTGGTTTGGTCCTCAGGACCTACATGGCAGGAGAAGAGGACTGTATCACACAGGCTGCCATCTGATTTCAAATTATATTACACATGTGCATACACAAAGACAAGAATAATGAATTAAATCTTAAAAGAAGTAAAAAGATTTGAGATGGTTCTGCAGTTTATTACCTGGCGTGGAGCACACAGTGACCATTACTGCTTGACAAAGTTCCATTATTTTATCATTGCAGATCAAAATTCTCCAGAATCTTCTTACTTTCATCTTTAACAATTCTATGTGTTATGGGAGTTTCCTTATGCCTTTTCCTTTGGGAAATTTTGTGTAGGCTTCAGTGGAGAATAAGGATGTATAAAATAGCATTTTCTTTAAACAAAATAATTCTTTGGGAAAAATCCCCACCACCATGGAACCATAAAGTGTGATAATTCTGCCTACTCCCACACAAAAATCTTCATCGTGCCTCCCCCCACCCCAATTATATCAAGAATAGAGAACTGGACATACCTGGTCCCAAGGATGAAAGTGCACTATGGAGAGAAACAATGGACTCACATTCAGATAGGCATTTAGATACTTGCTTAACTTAATGTTTTTCCCATGAGAAAAAAAAGTGCTGTGATAAGGTTGATGGACACTTTCATCCCAGAATCATTGAGTCTGTTTTCATATTGCTTCTGGCTAAAGTACTGTACAATTATAGAGTTTAAGAGGTGCAATCTTTTTTCAATAAAGCACCAGTTATCCTGATTCACTCTCAGATCCTGTCAGTCTCCTCCCTTCACTGACTCCACACCTCAACCTCAACCCTACTGTAGCTGGATTCTGGCAAGTATCTCTTGCAGAAAACACAGTTCAGTTTCCAGCCCCATGTGGCAACTCACATTTGTAACTTCAAAGTTTCAGGGAGTGTAACCACCTCATCTTGCCAAATGGCCCTTGTGTGTAGTCCATCATGGAGACAAAAAACCAGGCTCATAGGGAAATATACCTTAAGGAGAGCCTAATGGCAGGAGCCACTTACGTGAAAGAACTCCCTTATCTTCTTATGCCTGGACACCAGGTCCACCTGCTGCCTCTGGAGTGGGGTTATGTCATCTGGCAGTATGCCCAGACCATGTGCAGCCCTTACTGGTTGCACCCAAGGTGGAACAAGGTATGATCAAAGCTCCCACCACCTCCTAAATAGATGAGCATCTCTGAGCATGTTTGTGTAAATATGTATTTGTAAATATATTTTACCATATTTTATTTTGTGTATATCTACAGGTGTGTGCACAGATGCCACTTTGCATATGTGGCAGGTAGAGGACAACTTGAGAATCAGTTCTATTCTTCCATCACATGGGGACCAAATTTAGGCAAGTAGGGCTGGCAGTAAGCCACATTATTAGCTGCTCTATCTTGCTGACTCTGACTATACATTTTGAAAAATATGGGAGTATATGTTTGTGATAGGAATCTGATTGTTGCTGATTATATATGTAGCATGTATGATGTGTGTGTGTCAGCATGGCTGCCATCTTTGCATGTGTGTTTGGAGAAGTATTTATGGGTGTTTGGGTTTGTGGGAGTCGTGTATGGCAGAGGTTTTGTGAATATACAAGATTGTCTGTGTGAAGCTCTGGCATTTCATGATTGACCTGCAAATGACAGACATGGCAAACTTATCAAGCCCAGGCCAACTGTTTTGGTTCCACCCATCCCTGCACTTGTAGTTCTGATTCCTTTCCCTGGTCCAGCCTCTTCCCTGCCCACTGCTGGGCCCACCTTGGGTGTGGCCCTGCCTAATTTGCCACTGCCATGACTGGCTCCACTCACTATGATGAATTTCTCAATCCACACTGTCCAAATACTTTAACAACTTTCCCCAAAATTAAACCTCCACCTGCTTCTGACTCAACCCTGCCCAGCATCTCTTTTTTTACAGCAATATCCTAACATTCTCCCTCCCCTTTGCATCAATCTTCCTGGGACCCACCCACTTCCCTGAGTCTGTAGGTAAATACTTGGCAGCAGGGGAATTGTATTGTGAGTAGAAATCTTAATGTAACTTGTTTGTGCCTTCAAGACATTCTCTGGCAAATCACAAATAAATCACTTCTATTTGATAATATATTGCTGCTGTGCACAGATAACACCAAGGTCATGATGGGAACACAGGTCAGGTTGCATGTAACTTCCTGACCCATTGTCTAATGTTCAGTTTCCATTAAGGCCCAATAGTATGCCAAAAGCTGTCTCTAAAAGGGAGAATACTTGTCTGCAGATGGTTGTAGAGCCTTCCTTCAAGAGTCCAAAGATCTCTTCTTTGGTACAACTTCAGGGAATCAGCATCCCTATCTGCCACTGACACTTCACATACCATCAGTATGCCAGTCCAAGTAGTATAGAAGCCTGCACAGCAGCCTGCACCAGTCTCCACACAAAGCTAGCAGCTTTTTAAGTCAGTTGGTATATGGGCCAAAATAACACATCCAAGAGAGCAATGTGCTATCTCCACAATCCAAACAGGCCCACTAAACACTGTGCTCCTTTCTTGTTGGTGGGAGGGGCCAGGTACAATAACTTGTTCTTTGCCTTAGAAAGAATCTCTCTTCATGCAAAGCACCATTGGACTCCTAAGAATTTCAGTGAGGTATAAAGACTCTTGAATTTTGGTGGGATTTATGACCCATCCTTGATGGGCATATTGTTACCAATGAGTTCAAAGTGGTTGCTACCTCCTCATCACATGGTCCAATCAACATAATATCATCAAGTGTTCACAAATGTGATATTTTGTGGAAGAAACAGGTGACCCATATACCTTCTAAGTTATGATACAGGGAATGAGAGGTAATATAATTGATGTAAAACCAGGAAGGAAGACAGTCCAGTGACATCTATCCTTCTATAGTTTTAAATAGATTGGTTAGTGCATAATTAGAGGTTAAACAATCCATTGAAATTGCACTGGGAATAACAATCGCAGTTCAGGAGGCCAGGAAGGAATTGGTAAATAAAGTTAGTTTTCTGACAGACTCTCCTAAGTCCTCATCAAAACAGAGAGAATTCGAGTTTAGATTGATTAGTAAACTATTCACCCCATGCTTTAGGGTCCTTTTCAGAAAATGGATATGTCCCTAAAGGAGGCTCCAGTGAGCTGAGAGAGCTGTCACCTGCATCCATATCAGTGGTACTTAGCTTTCAAATTTGCCTGAACAAAGAAATTCATCTTTCTTGCCTCTTTTACCTATTTTAACTTTGATAATGAAGTTTACATTCATTCCAAGAATTTGATATCACTTCTTAATGATTAACATCCTCCTTAATTATTGTGACAACAGTCCAAGTTGATGACTAAGGGACCTAAAATCTCACAGGGATCTTTCTCCCTTCTTTTTATGTCTTTTCGTTTTCCTTTCAAACTCTGTCCTATACTTCCTCAGCTAAATTTCCACCTTCTGGAAACCAGGAGTTTTAAACAATTTGCATACAATATGATAGTAGTGCTTTTAATATTGTGCTCCTCATTTTCAAAATGATGCACCTGTTTAAGGCAAAGCCTGCTCTGGTTTCTGCACCATCATTCTCATGCACATCCTTCTCTGAGGGTCCTTGCTTTCTCATCTTGTAGCCAATTTTTAGTGCCTGTTCAAGAGCCACTTGTCACCATTCTTGAAATGTTGGCCCTGGGAGAATTGAACTGATAAATGAGGCACACTAACTTCTCATACAAGAGCCTACTTTATTCAGGGCCCCAGACAATTTATACTCAGGATTAAGAAAGATCATATGAGTAAAGTTCTAATGTGTTCAAACTGTATCCAATGACAAATACAATATACATAGAATAACATGTTTTTCCATGAAGGCATATAAAGCAGTTTAATTCAATAAAAACAACAAACAGTAATGAGTAATATGAAGTAAACTCACTCCTAACTGCTATATTGTGAGGAACATGAAAACATATTCAAAGAACAATTCTGTGTTTTGAAGAAACTTAAAACACAATAGCCCTGTCCTGTTTTCTTGAAGTGTACATACAAGCACTCAAAATTCTCCTCGTATGACTTCATCCAGGACAGTGTACTGACAATACACATGAACAAAAGTGATTTTATTTTAAGGAAAAAAAAAAAACATAACATATACATGAAGGTTCTTTTTAAAATATGGAGTCTCTCTCCTATCATACACATACATATATGTATGTACACATCCACTTTTATAACATCAACATACCTGGTGCCCAAGGAAGGCATAAATGGGCATCAGACTTCCTGGACCAGAGTTTACACAGACTTCTGAGCCACCTGATGTAGGTGCTAGGAACCAAACTTGGATGCACAACAGCAACAGTGCTGCTGAGTCAACTCTCCAGCTCACAAAGATGTCATTATACTGCAGAAAATGAAGATGCCCATTTACTCCTTCTGCCTTCCATCATTTGCAGGTGATGAGAGTCCCTGCTACTTGTTCAGTGAATGGCTGAATAGATTTCAATTCCTTTATGAATGGACTCTGCACACTGCTTATTTTAATTGTTAACACAATTCTCTTGATGGGAATGACCCCAACAATGACTTAGCAAAGTAGAAATGAGTCCACATTATACTAGGGAAAGTTTCACAATGTGATATATACTTTTAAAAAGGATTACTTTGTTTTTACATGAAAAGATGTTTTGCCTTCATGTATGTATGAGTATGTTGGATCCCCTAGAACTAGATAAAAAGACAGTTGTAAGCTTCTATGTGGGTGCTGACAATTGAACCCAGGTCCTATAGAAATGCAACCATCTTTCCAGATCCTGGTTTTGATTTTTTGATAAAGGATCTCTCTACATAACTAGGGCCATCCTGGAACTCAATATCAGGTAGTCAGGATTAGTAGGAATCACATTTCCTCACTGACAAAATTTTCTGCCATTCATTTGTGTTGCTGAGAATATGAGAAAAAGTATTTAGTCCTTAGAATCAAGTACCATGATCCAAAACTAATGTGATGACAGTATATATCAGTTTCATTTGCAAATACTTTTTATTATTCATATTAGTATGTGTTTCTCTATTCCTGGAATAAAACATGTTTACAATTTTAAAAAGAGACAATATTTTAATTATGAAATGTCTCTACTAATCTTACTCAAGCACCAGTGAGGTAACTCAATGGGGAAAAAGTATGTGGACTACAAGACTTGATCTCATTTATTAGTTCATGAGGATTTCCACAGGGAATTTATTCATGATTTGAACGGATACTGCAATGTGCAAAGACTTTACCACATTAATTATATTCATAGGGTTTTTTTTTAATTATGATTTCTATCAGGACTGTGAAGATGACTGTTCTGTGCAGTCTTTACCACATTGATTACATTCATAGGGTCTGTCTCCAGTATGAGTTTTCTTTTATTTGAAGGTGACTGTTAAATGCAAAGTCTCTACCATACTGATTATATCCATAGGGTTTCTCTCTAGTGTGACATCTTTCATGCCTTCGAAGATGACTTTTACGTGAAAATGCTTTATCACACTGATTACATCCATAGGGTTTCTCTCCAGTATGAATTCTTTCATGACTGTGAAGATGACTATTATGTGCAAAGGCTTTACCACACTGATTACATACATAGGGTTTCTCCCCAGTATGAATTCTTTCATGACTGAGAAGATGACTTTTCCTTGCAAAGGCTTTACCACATTGATTACATTCATAGGGTTTCTCTCTTGTATGATTTCTTTCATTAATGAGAAGATTCTTCTGTGCAAAGAATGTAGCACTTTGATTATATTCATAGGGTTTCTTTCCAGTATGACTTCTTTCATGACTAAGAAGATTACTCTTCTGTGCAAAGGTTTTACCACACTGTTTACATTCATAGGGTTTTTCTCCAGTATGAATTCTTTCATGAATGAGAAGATTACTCTTCTGTGCAAAGGCTTTACCACATTGACTACATTCATAGGGTTTCTCTCCAGAATGAATTCTTTCATGACTGTGAAGAGAACTCTTCTGTGCAAAGGCTTTGCCACATTGGTTACATTCATAGGGTTTCTCTCCAGTATGACTTCTTTCATGACTTCGAAGGTTACACTTCTCTGCAAAGGCTTTACCACATTGATTACATTCATAGGGTTTCTCTCCAGTATGAATTCTTTCATGAATGAGAAGCTTATACTTGTGTGCAAAGGCTTTACCACATGGAATACATTCATAGCGTTTTACTCCAGTATGACTTCGTTCATGCCTGTGAAGATTACTCTTCTGTACAAAGGCTTTACCACATTGATTACATTCATAGGCCTTCTCTCCAGTATGAATTCTTTTATATATTTGAAGATAACAGGGACTTAAAAAGGCTTTATCACATTGCTGATATTCATACTTTTTTTCTCTATGATGAGTTCTATGTACTTGATAAAGACTATGACATGCAGATACTTTATCACTTTGCTCATATTCATAGGGTTTTCCTTCCAAATGAGTTATTTGTTGTAATTTTAAAGAGGAATCATATCTAATGGTTTTATCATGTTGTTTACATTCGTAGGTATTCTCTTCATTATTGGTTGTTTTGTGTGTTTGAAGATATCTGTGATGGCTAAAATTCTCATTACGAAGCTCACATTTATCACTTCCTCTTCCGAAATGAATTTTTTCATGTCTTTGAAAATAATTGGAAGAATTCAGGTTTTTACCACACTGATTGCATGCATAACATTTTCTTATACTGTGAGTCAAACTATATGTACAAAATGAACCAGGACAGACAGATGAATTTCCATATTGCTTGTACTCATATGGGTTTTCTCCAATGTGAGAGTATAAACTTGTATCACAGTCATCATGTTTTCTCATAGTAGTGACTATAACATATTTTCTAATTGTTTCAGGAGAAACAGAGGTATATTGGTTCTTTCCATATTCCTCATGCTCACATGGCTTGTATCCAGAGGGACAGTTGATATGCCTATTAAAGGAAGAACAACAAATAAAAGATTTTCACATTACATTCACATAGTCTAACATTTTGTGCCTCAGAGATGTGGTATATGGATTTAGATTTCTACACCATAATAAACTCCTTGTCTCTCATAAAGTACTCCTCTCACTAAACTATGCTAAGTCACTCACTACAAGTATATAAAGAACACTAGCTTTAATGTGGAAGCTTAGCTTATAAAAGGTCTTGGACATACTCTAATCCCCTTATCAACAGGTATATCTTGTATGATGATTGAAAGGCATGGCAATAATTGGATGTACAATTCTACAGCATGCCTCTCATATGGCTATGATTAAATTTGTGACATCTGTTGTGGCATTGTTTCCTTGTCTTGTCCTTAAAGGAATGCTTTGTAAACAGTGATCGGCTACCTGACATTGGAGTGAATGGTGTTGTGAGAATTTAATAAACATCACACAGCTGTGCTTTTACTTGCTGCTTTTCTTTAGAGGTTCAGGGTACATTAACATTTCTTCCAAGATACATATGTATCAGCTTGCACATGAAAATTACCTTCCATGTCTTCTAGAACTTTGACAATTTTCTTCAAAATTGTGGTCTTCCCATTTGTAACCTAAAATATAGTACCAGAAAATGTATGTGATATATTACTGGAAATTAGACACAACTGAAATTACTATCTTTTGTGAATCTTTGAACAATGCCTGCTTTAGTCACTAGATCCTTCCTCTTTCACATTTAAAATCACAGAACAGCAACAATCTCCAAGAAAGTCTTATCCCTTTAAGTTAAAAAGTGACAAAAACCTCACATTCTTACCTATAGAAGTAAGGTTCCAGTAGGTTTCCAGCATCACATCTTTGTACAGACTCTTCTGGGAAGGATCTAGCAAAGCCCACTCTTCATGAGTGAAGTTCACATGCACATCCTCATAGGTCACTGCATCCTAAAGGATCCCATATATGCACATAATAGAAATGTTGAGACTGGCTGCATTGCAAATGTATACTTCATTGACAATATATTTACATAATTCATTGTGGTTGATATATTCTATCACATGGGTCATAAAATAACAAATACAGTCACCAACACATTTTTTTAAAAAAGCAGAAAAAGAGAATCACGCCTTCCATTTATGTACCCACAAAACAGAATAGGGCATTGAAAGAGAAGACTAATAATATACAGACGGACATGCAAACAGAATAACACTATCTAGTACATATCAGCAAAATGTTATCGGAATTATTAACTTCAAAACAGGATAGACAATACGGGTGTGGTAGTTGCCACCTTTAATCCCAACACTCAGGATGCAAAGATAGGTGATATTCTGTGATTTCGAATTGAGTCTGTCTGTGTAGATTTCCAGTACAGCCAAAGGTACACAGTGAGATCTGTCTCAAACAAACAAATAGAAAGCACTCATGGCTCACTTGAAATTTCTCCATACAGTAAAAACACTCATTCCAATTCTGTACTTGTCAATCATAAACTGGAGTGACCCCTTGTAAACTGTAAGGCTAATAATTCCTAAGAAGGTATGCATTTTTAGTGAGTTACTGACTGTTGAATCAGAGTTCTCAATAAACATTAGTAAAGTAAATGCTGATCCTAAAAAAATAATAAAAGTTATAGAGTAAAGATGTGTCAACAGATATGATCACCTGTTGCTTTTGAAGAGGTCCTAGCTCAGTTCTAAGCGCTCACTAGAGATTATCAACTCTTCCTATAATTAGGTAAAGAGAATCTAATGCTCTGTTCTAACTTCAGAAAATACTAGGAGGACAAGTGATAGCCACTCACAACCACCTGTAATTACAGCATAGGGGATCTGGCTCTTTCTGGTATCCATGGGTACGAGGCATACACATTGTACACAGGCATGTAAGTTGGTAAATATTCATACATAGCAAAATTATTATCCTAATAAAACAAAAAGAATAAAGTAACTGAAGGTGTACCTCAGTTGGTAGCATTCTTGCCTAGCATGCATGAATCCCTTAGTTCAATTCCTATTCCATGAAGGGAATAAGGATTGGGATGGCTGTCATCACAGCACTTGAGAGGTGGAGGAAGCAGGATCAGAAACTGAAGGTCATTCTTGGGGACATAGGAAATTTGAAGGCAGCCTGGGCTATATGACACCCCGCCTTAAGAAACAAAAACACAAAAAGAATGTCCCAGGAGAAAGGAAAGCATGTAGGATGCAAGTGACTAGAGAGTTATGAAAGGCCATAAAGCTGGAACAGCTATCAACATCATTCATAGCTGACAGAAGTGTCAACCTGGGTGTGGGAACTAAACTATCTTCTACAAATTTCACAGGCATCCTTTCCACTGAGCCATCTTTCCAGCCCCTAGACACTGTTTATACACAATGTAGCTTCAGTTTCTGACTGTTATTACTAGCAGATGACATATTTACCTTGTTTAAGTGGACTTCTAGAATACCCAAGCAATATCTAAAGAAAACAGGAATTTACTGTCCACAAGCAAGAACCCATAAGATCAAATGAATAGTCCTTGCTTGTCAAGTTACACCTATCACATCCCTATATAATTATGTATGGCTCTGAAAATAAAAAATTGAGGTTTAGGCTAAAGACTGAAGTCTGCAAAATAGAGTCTCCCTAAAATTAATCTTTTAGTGTAAGATCTTTTTCAGGTAGGCATGGAGACCTGACACCCATGATCTCATCAACTGGGAAGTGGAAACAAGAGAATTAGAACTTCAAGGCCAGTTTTTGCCCCAAAAGATCCTATCTCAAAAAAAGAAAAAAAAGAAAAACAAAACAAAATCTATCTAAGGTGACACATTAAAGTCCCAATTGATTAAAAGGAGCTCTAGGAAAAATAGAGAAATAGTGCCACATAAAACACTTCATTTTCATTGTAAGACTTACCTGTTTAAAACTATACATAAGTTGATGGGACATTTTAATCCCATCACAAATTTAAGTGTAATCCAAGGCCAAAGTTTATTCTCTTTTCCTATCTAGACAATTAAAAATCTAGTATTATGTGATGCATTTGTATGATATGTGTGTCAGGGCAGGCACAAGAGTGCCATAGTGAGAGGCTGAAGATCAAAGGACAAAGTCCAGGAGTCGCTTTCTCCTTCCACGAAGGGTTCCTGGGAACAATTTCAGGTCATTCGGCTCACATATCAAGCACTTTTCATACTGAGCCACCTCACCAGCACTATTTCATTGAATTCTAATTCACAGATGGTCTCCCTCCTATATTTACACACATCTCTATTTTTGTGGCCTTTTTGACATAGGATCTCTTTGTAGCTCTGGCTGGCCTAGAACTCACTCTTTGGGCCAGGATAGTCTTGAACTTCCTGCATCTGCCTCCAAAATACTAGAATGACAGGGGTGAGCCCTCATGCTCTGTTAATTCAATGTACTAATTAAATCGAAGTATAATACAGAGATATATGGCAACTTCTTGAAAAAGGACTGTGGGGGACCCCCCCCCACTTTTTTGCCAAGGGTACTCTTGAGGAGTGAGGGATAAGAGACTTAGATAGAAGTATAGAGGGGAGAGAGAGACAGATAGAAACACAGGATAGCCATGGGAGGGCCTGGATCCTGATCCACCGGCCCCTCTGTCTCTTCTAAAGGGCTTTTTAAAGGAATGCCAAGGGGTGGAGCAAAAGACCTGCCCCTAGCACAGCCAAGTGCAGACCCTTCCAAACACCTGGTAACCACACACATGGCCAACCCATCTCCTTATACAGCTCTGCTGTGTAAAGCAGGCTCAGATCTCACGAGAAAACCTCTGTGGGCTCCCACAAAGTGCAAAAGTAAAGTAAAAGTTACAGATTCATTTTAAAATCTTTTAACTCTAGTCAATGCCAAGACTAACCATGTAACAGGCATCACCACTTGGTCTCCCATTGGCCTAGGAAAACTTTGTATTTTATTTCTCAAGGACACACTGTACAATGTGCACAGCATATGTCCTGGTGAGATCTTGATCCTACAATGACAAAACTTTTGTGTTTTTGGAGGATGGTCTCATTCTATTTTCTGGTCTGGCCTCAAGCTAGTGGTGACCCTTCTGCTTTGGATTTCCAAGTGCTGGGATTACAACTGGGAGTCACTAAGACTAGCTCAGAAATTCTGTGTAAAAGATGACTCAGTGGCAGATTATTTGTTTATCATGTGTGAAGTGTTTGGGTTTGACCCATAATCCACAGGGGGAAAATGCGACCTCATTGCTCATCCAATATGCCCATAAGCATATAAAATGCATGTGAGGCTCTTCAAACCAAAATGAATCAAAAAGCGATGGAGGACACTACAAACTCGTTAAAGGAAAAATCCAAAATGATGACTTTTCAATTTCTAATATCTATTCCCCAAACACAAGGGCACCCTCACCTGTAAAAGAAACACTACTGCAGGTTACATTGAATATTGACCCTCACACACTGATAATGGGAGATCTCGATATCCTACTCTCAATCATGGACAGGCCATCCAGACAAAAGCTAAACAGAAATACTGAAGTTACCAGACATCATAAACCGAATGGACCTAAGTTATATTTACAGGATATTTCACCCAAACACAAATGAATACACCTTCATCTCAGCACTGTAAAAAGGCCCCAAACCTTAGCACAATGGACTCCATGATGGAAGTGTCATTCAGGCTGTAAAACACAGCACATGTTCAGCACCACCTGCCAAAACTAAAAACAGAGGTCTAATGCTGTGGATATCGTTCTATATAAATAAAACACTGATGGCCAGTGACCAGGCAGGAAGTAGGTGGCCAGGCAGGAGGTAGGTGGGACAAGGAGAGAGGAGAATTCTGGGAAGCGGAAGGCTGAGGGGGGAGACACTGCAGCCACCGCCATGACTAGCAGCATGTGAAGACTCTGGTAAGCCACCAGCCATGTGGCAAGGTATAGATTTATAGAAATGGGTTAATATAAGATAAAAGAACAGTTAGCAAGAAGCCTGCCACGGCCATACAGTTTATAAAAAATATAAGCATCTGAGTGATTATTTTATACGTGGATTGTGGGACTGCGGGGCTTGGGGAACCTGGAGAGAAGCCCTCCAACAACAGTCTAATCCTCAGAAGTCCACAGTTACAGGAAAGTCTCTAAATGTACTAACCTTGCTGTTTAGTTCCTGTAGTTCCACTTCTGGCTAACTGTTCCTATTAATTGAAGTAAATCAAACAAGAACATGTTTTCTGTGCTTAAAAGCTCATCCTTAAACAGGGATGGGGCCACACTGGGATCCTAATAAAGGCATTCCATTGGCTTAAATCCATGTCTGAGCAGTCTTCTCTGGTGAATACCCACATTTCTGGAGATCCCATTGAGTTCCCAAGATCAGACCTCAGAATACCAAGAGTTCTCAGAACCCCTTGGAGAGAGGAGACGTGCAATGTTCAAGGGGCTACTACAGGGTACATAACCTGAGACAGTCAGGTCCCCTGGTGTCTTAGTTAGGATTCTACTGTTGTGAAGAGACATCATGACCACAGCAACTCTTATAAAGGAAAACAGTAAATTGCAGCTGGCTTACAATTCAGAGGTTTCGTCCATTATCATCATGGCAAAAAGCATGGTGTCGAGCTTAGTGCTGGAGAACTGGCTGTAGGAAACTGAGACACACAGCTGTCAAAGCCTACCTTCACAGTGACTCACTTCCTCCAACAAAGCCACATCTATTCCAACAAGGCCACATCTCCTAATAGTGCCACTCCCTATGGGTCAAGCATTGAAATTCAGTCTATGGGGGCTATTTCTAGTTAAACCACACCAGTGCTCCTTTTGATTAAGTACTTCCCAATGCTTCGGAGGGATCTGACACCACCCCCTCAAAAGGAAACAAATCAGAAACTTGCCTGTTCTGTCACCTCTGGAGATTAAGTCTGGTTGAGGTGACTTCTGTTTAGACACATACCAGAG